CCGCCCGAGGAAGAGGCCCCGGAGCGAGACCCCGGGGCGCGGAGGCCGCCCGGCTGGCCCCGGCTGGCGGCACATTCGGGCCGAGGGCCTCGACTGCAGCTACACGGTCCTGTTCGGCCAGGCCGAGGCAGACGAGATCTTCCGAACGTTGGAGCGGGACGTGGAGTATTTCACAGGTAAGCACGGGCCGGGCGTGCGTGGAGCATGCCGGTTGGGTGCAACTAATGGTCTTCTGTTGGAGAAAACCTCAACTCAACAGCCATTAACTACTGACGGAGTCACTGATGGATCCAACAAGCATTCTCTGGGCGCCTCTGTGCCAAGCACCTTATTAGGTGCTTGGGATACAAACTTAACACCTTGGAGTTTAAAAAAACAACTATGCTGGGTTCTACCGGAGACCAATTAAATCAGAGGAGCTTGGAGAGAAGCCTGGATCTTAGTGCTTTTAAAAAGCTTTCAGGTGATTTAAAACAATTTTTTTTTTAGAGGTGGAGTCTCACTGTGTTGCCCAGGCTGTTCTCAAACTACTGTCCTTAAGCTAATCCTGCCCTGGCCTCCCAAAGCTACTGCACCCAGCCCAAAGGCTTCCAGGTGATTCTAATGTGCAGCTAGCATGAAGAATCAGTGCTCTTGTAGGAGAAATGACAAATAACTTTCTTTACATAAGTGGGTCTTGGCGTCACCTGGAGGACTTGCTGCTGGTCGGCACTCTGACTGCCGGGCCCCACCCCTGGGGTTTAGTTTCTGAGGAGTCTCTAGGTGATGCCACTGGTTGAGGAACCACACGCTGAGAACCACAGCATTGTCGGGTGATGAGAACACAGGAGTCTGGCAGAGCACTTGAGGGAAGCAGAGAAGCCCACAAGCCGGGTGAGGCGGCTTGCAGTCCCAGGTTCTCCCGAGGCTGAGCCAGGAGGATCACTTGAGCTCAGGAGCTGAAGTCCATCCTGGGCAACACAGTGAGACCCCCATCTTTAAAAAGAAGCCTACAGGAGACCCCAGCTGTGTGAGCCCATCTTTCTTGAAGCCATAGGCCCTTAGTCCCCACAGTTGACGAAACCACCCTAGCCTGTAAACTAACTTCATCGTGCTTAAATTTCTGCTGCTATGATCTGCTTGTACATAGTTAGGCAGTTAAGCTGTGGTGTTTTTTTTTTTTTAATTAGGATCATAGAAACCTAGGACTGTGTTTCTCCAAGTGTAGGACAAGAGTCAATGTTCTTTTTTGGGGAGTCGGAGTCTCACTCTTGCTCAGGCTGGAGTGCAGTGGCACGCTCACAGCCACAGCAGCCTCAACCTGCTGGGCCCAGGTGATCCTTCCGCCTCAGTCTTCCACATAGCTGAAACCAGATACACGTCACCCTGCCCAGCTAATTTTTTAATTTAGAGACGAAGTCTCGCCAAGTTGCTCAGGCTGGTCTTGAACCCCTGGGCTCAGGCAATCCTCTCGCATCGGCCTCCCAAAGTGCTGGGATGACAGGTTTGAGCCCTGCGCCTGGCCAGAGTCACTGTTCTTACATGAAAACTTTGGGCAAGTCACAGTGGCTTTTGGGGAGTGGGTCGTGGCAGGGCATTAAATGACATTGAAGGGCACAGGGGAACACCACTCTTGTCAGACTTCCCTTTCAGTTCTGATATGCAGGGAGTGAGTGTGTTGGGCACGCTCCTCCTGGATTTCCGAGGGTGCTGGGGAGGGACAGAGCTGCCATGTTTCACCTGCACAGGGATGCTGGCCAGGGTCCAGGTGTTCGGGAAGTGGCACAACGTGCCCAGGAAGCAGGTGACTTATGGCGATGCTGGACTGACCTACACGTTCTCAGGCCTCACGCTGTCTCCAAAGCCATGGATCCCAGTTCTAGAGCATGTCCGGGATCGTGTTTCAGGAGTGACAGGACAGACCTTCAACTTCGTGCTCGTCAACAGGTAACACCCCTCCCGCTCAGTGGACTGTCTCCAAGTAAGAGCATAGGATTCCGCCCTGTTTTGTTCTTTTGTACAAACCATTCTTGAGTGTGCTGGGGTGTAGTAGCAGACGGCACTAGCCATTGGCCCTCCAGCACTCACGCCACAGCAGGTGGTGAGGGGAAGCTCCTGAACACACAGCCGGCCACAGTCATTTCGGACAGAGAAAGTCCTCTTGAAGGAAAGGAAACAGGCTGCTTTGACTGAGCACAGCCGAGGAAGGGGTTTGGGTTTAGGGCAGGGTTTCTCAGTGGCAGCATGACTGACATTTGGGCCAGAGAATGCTTTCTTGTGGGAGCCTGACCTATGCATTGTAGAATGTTGAGCCCATTCCTGGCCACCCAGTAGATGTAAGTAGCTCTGTTCACGAATGTCCCTGGGTCAGGGGAGGTGGTTCATGGAGGGCCCAGTGAACCAGTGATGTTTGGGCCATGGCTGTCTGGAACAGGAGAGCAGGCACTTAGGGTGTCCACAGCAGAAATCCTGCTGGTGTGGCTGGAAAGTAGTGACTGAGGGAAGGAGGGCTGGGATGAGCTCCAAGGTGGGCAGGGGCCAGGTGTGTACGGAATGTGGGCTGAGCGTCAGGAGAAACCCCCTGTGTGATAAAGGTTTTTGTGTATCAACCAGGAACTGTAAGGCATGGTTGTGGCTTTTGGTGTCTTCAGTTTTAAAGCCTGTGGACAAATAGGGCTCACTAAAGTGAAGCTGCTTCAGGGCTGGCTCATCTGTCAAAGCAGCTACAGACCTCAAGCCCTTGCAGAAATGGCAGGGTCAGCCACACGCGTGGTATGCCTCATGTTGGAAGAGCACTAGGAGTCTGCAATGCTGGCGAGTCTCTGGAGAGGGGTATTTTTATGAGCTGTGCTTGTTTTCTCACTGCAGGTATAAAAACGGCTGTGACCACATCGGGGAGCATCGAGATGACGAAAGAGAGCTGGCTCCTGGGAGCCCCATCGCTTCTGTCTCTTTTGGCGCCTGCAGAGACTTTTTCTTCCGGCATAAGGATTCTCGTGGGAAAAACCCCTCCCAGAGGATGGAGGTGGTCAGGCTGCAGCTGGCTCATGGCAGCTTACTCATGATGAACCACCCAACCAACACGCACTGGTACCACAGTCTTCCTGTCCGAAAGAAGGTTCTGGCTCCACGGGTTAATTTAACATTTCGTAAAGTTTTGCCTACTAAAAAATAAAAATGTTTTTACCAGTTAGTACTTCTGTTTTCTCTTTCCCCCTCTAAGAGGGAGCAGGCATTTCCTTTACCAACAGGGAAAAGGTTTAACCAAAGCGTAGGGCTTGTGATGTAACAATGCAGGGTTCAGAAAGAGGATGTTTGTATCAAATCAGTAAATTATGAAAGAATACCAGTTGATTTTTTCCTAATAAAATGATTCTTTTTTTGCTATAATACACAGCAGATACAAAAGTACCTTTAGCAAATACGTAAGTCAACAGTTATTGTTGCATAAACTACTAGTTTAACTTAGGTTTTCCAAAGGAGAAGCTACTTACTTTGTAGATAACTTAAAACTAGAAATCAGATTATTTGGCTACTGATTAATGCCTAATAATTTACAAAATGAGCAAGTCAGTTTTAAGAAGTCAGGTTAGGAGACTCTGCACAGATATCTTCACATTTACACCTTGGCTCAAATCCTGGCCTCTGACCCAAGAAAGATCTGCTTACGACCACATGTTCAAAGTGCACACTCTTTTTAACAGCAGATTTCAAAGAGTAAGCAGTGGCAGAACAGCAGTTACTTAAAGCTACAACTTTGCAGCACACTTTAAGGTCACCGATTAGGCACTTGCTCCACCAGACTCAGGGAAACAAGTGCATTCATTTCAACATCAAAGCCAACATCTGCAGCTGGTCAGTGCTGAACAGATCAGACAGTTCAAGCTGATCTGTGCATACTGATGCCTGAGGCCTGGGGAACCTTCTCAGTATATTCTATTGGCAGCGGGAGTTGCTGAGTCCTCAGGATGCACACTGGGCCAGTGGCATGGGGACCACCGGGTTTCCTGCATTTGGAGCTGACACCAGGCATTGTCTGGAAGGGTCTGCCGGCTCACTCCCAGCAGGGGAATCACAGTTCTTGGCTTTACCTCAGGTGGCCTTTTGGATAGGTTTGATTTCATATCTTAACTCTGAAGAGTCACATTTGAATGTGGTGTTCCTTTCTAATTAAAAATCTTGCTAAAACATAGGTACTACTGTGTCATCCACATTCCTTTGGCCCTGGGCTGCAATCATGAGACTTGTCTGAAAAGGGAAGAAAATGCTCAATAGACCCTTTTTGTATTAGGCTACTGAAGATGATGAATAAGTTTAGAATATGGACCTATAATAAGGTGACAATACTAGATGTCAGCTGTAGCAATGTATTTTCAAACTGAAAAGCTGCTACTTTCTGTGGAAAGGGCTGGACTTAAGGTCATTGAATCTAACCCTTTACTTCACGAATGGAGAAACAGGTTCGGAGAGATGGCACCCCCATGGTCAGCACTTCCTTCCAAATCCAACGGTCAACTCAAGACAGGGATTGTCTTTCAATAACCCCAAGCTCCTACCTATAAACCTTAAGAGCTCTGCATGGACAATAAATAAACATGAAAATAGCCGTCCACAGGGATCCCTGTGTAATAGAGTTTTCTGCAGAGCAGAGGAATCAGAGTTGCTGAGCGGATACTGCTCAACTCTGTCTATTCACATAATTTTAAATATACCATAATTACATCTCTTAGTCCAGTATACAAAAGATAAAAGCAACAAGTAAGCTTTTTACTTACAACTGACAAAGTAGTGAAAGAATTTCCCCAGGGGGCAGATTTGGCAGATGAGCCTTTACTACACAGAAAGAATTGAAAGATTAGAAAAGGCATAGAAAAAGGGAGTGGAGGTGTTCTTTAGGCGTCTTTAGCTGTTCTTTTGCTATCCTTTGAGCAACTCGGAAGGGATATTTCAGAATGGATGTGCTACAAAAGCAATTGAAAGTGAAAGGCACTTTTTCTCCTAAATTGTTGCCTTTAATAATTTCACTAATTCCTGTCAACAATTTTTATGGGCCTGCTTATTAAAAATAAAAGATCTATATTGAAACCTCAGAGGATCAGACAAAAGTAACTGCCCTCTGAGAACACCTAACATATTACAATATGAAAAAGGTGGCTTCCAGAATCTGGTTTCTTTTAATTACCTGTATCAGATGAGTAAAAAGACGCTCACAGACAAATGCTTTCCTAACATGATGGCACCATCAGGTACACACAAGCAGAGCTGTCAGAGAGCCTGATTTGGTATGAGTGGGGCTGGCTCCTGGGCAGGGCCTGCTCTTAGAACACTCTGGAAGGCTGACGGGCTCTAGCGGGGCTGCTTGCACGTGCGTGCACACACACAATGCAGTTTTGCTTTTCTCCTGGAGAGTGGATGGTGCCATCAGCTCTGCCCTTGGGGCTGGGGCAGAGTCACTCTTCAGACCTGTACTCCTGACCCTGGTGCTGCATCGTGGAAAGAACACGCTCATAAAACAGCAGGTAAGCACTGGAGGACAGGACCTCCTGCAGGCTGGCCTTACGGACGGTGTCGTCGGAAACCCACAGCCACTGGTTGCTGGTTGAGAGAGGGTTCTTGGCTGAAGGCGGGGACCGTCGATAGGTGACAAAGTGTCCAGAGTGCATGTCTCCATGGTGAACAACAACTGCCATCAACCGGAAGAGGTACGTGGAGGAGCTGAATGGTAGAAACAAATGCCAGTGGTTTATCAGTGTAACGAAAAAGGCTTTATAGGCAAAAAAGCAAAAGAATCCTGGATGTTGAACAACAGAGGACCAACACAGAGGCACATCCATACAACTGAATCGTATACAAACATTAAAATACAGACCTACATTTACTGGCATGGCAAGCTATCTATTCCATGAGTATATGTATACTGCAGTATATGTACACTGTGTACACATAGATGTCTGCATCAAATAAGTATAGATTGTGTATACATGTGCACATATACACACCTTTACAGAGTGGATGACCCTAAAGATTTAACCAGTTATCTCTAGTTGGTATCCTAAGAAATTTTAAATTTTCTTCCTATATTTTATTTATATACACAGATACACACACACACACACATACACGCTTATGTATATGTAAACCTTATATACTCTTAAAATTCTTATTTTTAAAGAGATTTCCATTTTGGATGAAAATAGATGGGAATGTGTAATAGTGAAATTTCACCTAAAAATGAAAAATTAATTTTGGCTGGGCATGGTGGCTCATGCCTGTGATCCCAGCACTCTGGAAAGCCAAGACAGGATGATCGTTTGAGCCCCAGAGTGCAACACCAACCTAATCAACACCATGAGACCTCATCTCTACAAAAAAATTAAAAAATTAGCCAAGTGTGGTGGTATGTGCCTTTAGTCCCAGCTACTCAGGAGGCTGAGATGGGAGCATCACCTGAGCCTAGGATGTCGAGGCTGTAGTGAGCTATGATCACACCACTGCACAACAGCCTGAGTCACAGGGCAAGACCCACTGACTCAAAGAAACACACAAAAAAACAGGAAGAAAAAAAAAATCTAAGTCTGAAAGCATCAATTCATTTTTGTGATAAGTTATTTTCAGAGACTAGAGAAGCAGTGAATACAGAACACGCTTCTAAAGAGCAGCTCACCTGTAGTCAGGAACAACTGGGAGGGGGATGGGCACTGGAGCTGCTAGGGCTGGCAATAAAGATGGGGAGCAGGCGCCATTCATGAATATCTGTGTTTTGGGGGCCCCTGCCTGATTCAGAACTGCAAGAGAAAAAGGCCCAAGTCAGTGAACATTAGCAGTGGCTCTGGGTAAACAAAACACGGTTTTGATTAACCTGATAATTAACTCCCCATAATGCAACAAAGAAGATTTCATTTGGTATTCTATTGGTAATATAATAAAACAATCTACCATTTTATCCTTGATTGCCTTAATCCCAAACAGGAAAAGTGTATCTGGTCCAGGCCTACCCAATTGCCTCGACAACCTTGAGTCTCTGAGAGTCCCGTCCCTGTTTGCTAATAACATGTATCAAAGTTCAGCTAATTGACTGGCTTTTGACCTAAACCAAGGTTTTCAACACCTTGGCACAACTGACATCTTGGCTGGCATCTGACTCTCGGTTGTGGGGAGCTATGCTATGCATTACAGGATGCCGAACAGCACCCCTGGCTTCTATCCGCCAGATGCCAGGAGCACCCCTCCCCAAGTTGTGAATAAGCAAGTATTCAGACATTGCCCAGTGGCCCCTGGGAGGCAAAACGGCTCCGTGTTGAGAACCACTGACCTAAATCTTCTCCTTTCTTTCATTCTGTCAGCTTCTAAGGAATGCCAACATGTATAGCATGTAACAGAACTGTTTGTGGGTGTAGACAGATAATTAAGGTGATGTTTACATGTCTTTTCCTTTCAAGCATCATATCTAGGGGCCTTTACGTACCAAGCAGTTCACTGCAAGCATCTTTTAACAAAGCCAGCATGCTCTGAACACTAGTGGACCTGCACCCCATTCCCAGAGTGGAAAACACTAGGGTGAAGATTCCCAGTTTAAAATGAGGGACAAGGAATGAGCCTACTCCCTGCCTCTGCTGTCCCTGATGTTAATATGGAGAGACCTGCTGAGATAGATCTAAGCAGGCTCCCTGAAATGACGTCTTGCAAGGCCATGCAGTTGTGGTCACAAATAGAAAGGGGTAAGGGACACTAACCCAGGACAGTATGGGCATGCAGAAGACAATCATGACTTACTTGGGGTGGCATGCAGGTGGTGAGCTCAGGTTTTGAGCCCTTAAAGTCAGTGGCTTTTCCTTATCTATAACTCTAAAGAACTCAATGTGTCACATAAGACACTTTCACAAAACCGTCCCAGTGCTACATTCTAGTGCCAGCTCTCCTGTGTGCTGTTTGCCCTTGGACCAAACATTTAACCCAAGGAGCCTCAATTTCTTCATCAGCAAGACTGAGGGAAATAATAGCTACCTGGCTTAACTGGGATGCAATTTAACAACTGACCTCAGATGAGGACAGCAATGGAGCTAGATCAATAAACAATTCAGTAAAGAAGTCATAGCAACCCAAATATGATGTTCAGTGGTCTTTAGCCAGGACATGTCCTCGCCACATTTCCTGTATGAATGAGATGACTGTATTGAGGGGAGAAAAATAAAAAGAAAAATTCACTGGAATGGTATGAGTCAATTATCATTTAGTCAAAAGACCAGAAGGCAAGTCTGCAATCTTAAGCTTTTCTCCCTATACAGGTAACTTTTTGTCTATAATATAGTTTTGAAAACTGAACATCTCATTTCTATAATTACGACACAATTTTAACCTCTTTTAAGAAATCTTCCAAGACTTGACAACAGTGGCAGCAAGCAGGGTGAGTCCAGATCTGATCCACCCTCCTCCCGCAGTAGTCCGTGGGGCATCTGACCTACACTGACAGCAACCCTTTCAGCCTGCACTGAGAGCAGAGAGAAGTTGGAGACCAGAGCTGAAAGTAATTTGAAGTTACAAGAACGACCTCAGAGCGAGTTTTGTTTTTTCGTTTTTTGTTTTTGTTTGTTTGTTTTGCTTATTTGTGTTTTTAGTTTTTTCTCGTCTCTCTTTCATTGTTTTTTATTACGTTTTCGTACTTGCTTTTTTTCTGTTATTTTATTGCTTTTTTTAAGACTTCCTGTTTGTGTATGGGTATTTTTGAGGGACAGTACATCAAAAAGGGGGTTTTTGTGTATTTGTACGATTGTTTTTTTTTTAAAAATCTTTCTGTCTTTATTTGTGTCTCTTTTCATTTGTTAGTTGGTACAGCTGTCTGTTTTCCCTCTTCTTCATCTCTCACTCTACCTTCCTCTCATCCCCCTCCTTCCTTTTTCTATTCTTTTCTCCTTTTTCTTACCTCATTTTGCTTTCAGGGGGCAAACCTATACCCCTACTGCATGGACAGATTGTAAGGCAGTGGTAAGTGGGTTCCAGGGGGCCCACACACTTGTCAGAGGATACTGAGATCTGCAGATAGTTTCTGAATCATAGCTCCTCCCTCAATTAAATCTCAAAACTGCAAAAAGTATAGCCCCCCATCCACAGTCCAGCTTCAGAACTGAACAAAGCCAGAGGATTCACATAAGGAAGAATAGGAGATTGAACAAACAGAAGTAAAAGCTAGCCCCCATCCCTGAACAACAGATTTAAAGAAGAGGTGTAAAAAAAAGGGGGGGGGGGATCTACACAAATGAAAAAAAACCAAAAGTAGAATATGGGTCTCACACAAATACCTGGGAGGTCAGTCACTGAGAATACAGACTGTAGAATGCAACAATGAAGAGCCCCCAGAATGACTGGTCTCAAACCACAAATCCAGATATAAAGACATTAATAGAGAGAATAAATAGAACTGAGGAGACACAAGAGGAAAGAATGAAGGAGTTGTTAACTGAGACAACAGCAATACAGAATACAGCAGGCCGGATACGGTGGCTCAGCCTGTAATACCAGCACTTTGGGAGGCTGAGACAAGAGGATTACCTGAGCCTGGGGGTTTGAGACCAGCCTGGGCAACTTGGTGAAACCTCGTCTCTACAATAAATTACAAAAACTAGCTGGGCGTGGTGGTGTGCATCTGTAGTTCCAGCTACTTGGAAGGTTGAAGCAGAAGGATCACCTAAGCCCAGCAGATCGAGGCTGTAATTGCTATAAGTGTGCCACTGCACTCCAGCCTGGGCGACAAGAGTGAGACTCCAACTCAAAAAAAAAAAAAAAAGAATACAGTGAATTAAATAAATAACAAACTGATAAGCATGGAAAGCAGAATTAACCAAGCAGAAGAAAGAATTTCAGAGCTTGAGAACCAAGATATGGAACTAACCCAAATTGTTAAAAACATAGAAAAGAAGCTTAAAAAGACAGAGCAAAACCTCTGAGAGATGAGCAATTATTTCAAGAGGTCAAACCTAAGATTAATTGGAATTCCTGAGGCAGAGAGACAGAGACTACCCTGGAACAAACATTCCATGAAATTATCCAAGAAAACTTCCCTCATCTTATCAGTAACATGACCAATCAAACACAAGAGACTCAGAGAACCCCTGAAAGACAACTAATGAGAAGACCAGTGACGAGACACATAGTAAATTGCCTACACAAAGTAGGTATAAAAGAAAAATTCTAAAGGCAACAAAAGAAAAAGATCAGATTACCTACTGGGGAAGACCAATTAGAATAGCAGCAGATTTATGTACAGAAACATTTCAGGCTAGGAGAGCTTGGAGTCCAGTCTTCAAAGTTCTCAAAGATAAACAATTTCAACCAAGAATTACCTACACAGCTAAGCTAAGGTTCATCAGTGATGGAGAATTAAAATCCTTCCCAGACATTCAATCCCTAAGAACTTATGCTGCCTCCAGACCAGCTCTACAAGAAACACTTAAGAAAGTATTAAGCACAGAAGAGAGGAAAAAAAGAATGACAACACCCTTCCCAAAAATATAGGGAAAAGATTGAAAACACATATGAATCAACCCAAAAATCAAAAGAAAGACAACAAACAGCAGCAACAACAACAAACTTTATAAGAACCTCATGGGCAACACCCTCGGGTCCCTTGCCACTGTGGAAGCTTTTCTGTCCTCTTAATAAATCCTGCTTTCTCACTTACCAGCACACAGCAAGATCTTTATAAAAAATAAAAGAAAATAATACCCACCCCCCACACACAAAAAGAACCTCATGACAGGGATAAACTTTCACATCTCAATAATTAGCCTGAATATGAATGGACTAATGCACCACTGAAGTACATAAGATGGGAGTTCCAGTGCAGGCCTGAGGTTCTTGTTAAGGTTAGGGTTATGTGCTTTAGTGGTACAATAGTCAACTATAAATGGATCAAAGACCTAAACGTAAAACCTCAAACTATAAGAACCTTAGAAAATGTAGGAGACACCCTTATGGAAATTGGAACTGGCAACCAATTCCTGATCAAAACCCCAAGGGCCCATGCCAAAAGAGATAAGATAGACAACTGGGTCCTCATCAAACTGACAAGCTTCTGCAAAGTCAAAGAAACTATCAAGAGAGTTGGGAAGACAGCCCACAATGAGAAAAAATATTTGCCAGTTGTACGTCAGACAAAGGCCTAACATCTAAGATCTACAAGGAACTCAAATGTGCCAAAAAGAAAAAAACAAACAGCCCCATTACAAAGTGGGCAAAAGATATGAATAGATACTTATCAAAAGAAGACATGTGAGCAGCCAACAGATATACAAAAAAATACTCAGCCTCACTAGTCATCAAAGAAATGCAAATTAAAACTACACTGAGATACTACCTAATTTCAGTCAGGATGGCCATCATCAATAACTCAACAACAACAGATGCTGGAGAGGATGTGGGGAAAGGTAATACTTCTATACAGTTGGTGTGAGTGTAAACTAGTACAGCCTCTGTACTAAAGGATCTAAAGATCTAAAAATCGACCTGCCATATGACCCTGCAACCCCCCTACTGGGTATATAGCCGAAGGAACTCAAATCTCCCTATGAAAAAGATACCGGCACACGTATGTTTACTGCAGTATTGTTCACAATAGCAAAAACATGGAGCCAATGAAAGGGGACTGAATTTTTAAAACGTGGTACATATACACAATGGAATATTACATAGGCATAAAGAAGGACAAAATTATGAACTTCACAGCAACTTGGATGGACTGAGAGTCTATAATACTGAGTGATCTATCACAGAAACAAAGAACTGAGTATCACATGTTCTCACTCATAAGTGGACCCTGAACAATTATTGTAATACTATAAGAAAAGGATTGACAATAGTGGGAAACTTACCAGGGGCGGGAGGGTGGTGGGAGGAAGGACTGGCAGTAATGGGAATCTGCTGGGGAGGGGTACCGCATCAACAAGGGTACCTGCATCATGAACATTTGTATACCTAACCCTGAGTTGTACCCCACATCTTTGAAATTAATAATTTTTTTTAAAACCTTCCCTCTTCAACTCCCAATCCTGGTGTTATCAAGAATTTAAGCAGGCGCAGTGGCTCACGCCTGTAATCCCAGCACTTTGGGGGGTGGAGGCGATAGGATTGCCTGAGTTCAGGGGTTTGAGACCAGCCAGTGCAACATGTTAAGACCTCATCTCTACAGTAAATGAAAAAATCAGCCAGGCATGGTAGCACGTGCCTACGGTTCCAGCTATTTGGAAGGCTGACATGGAAGGATTACCTGAGCCCAGCAGATCAAGGCTGTGGTGGCCATGAGCATGCCACTGCACTCTATCCTGGTGACAGAGTGAGACTGATTCAAACAACAAAAAAAAAGAATTTAAGAAACCACTGTACAAGTCTTGTGTTCATATCACGAGAGACTCAGAAAGTAGTGATGTCAAATTGCTTTTCTCTGTGCCAAAAAATCAGCTCTCTGGGCACATACCTGGTTTGGGAGCTGTCAGCCCATCTTGTAGTTCCAGTGCAGGCCTGAGGTCCTCGTTCAGGTTAGGGTTATGCTGACTGGGCTTATGTCCAAGGAGGTGGTACTTGTAGATGTCCATCATCAGGAACTCATTAAACTGCACGTGCTCGTGCCGCTTCAGAGGTGTGCCATGGCTGGACCAGCTCAGCCGCTGTAGGTGGATACACAGACACTGTGGGAGCTGTGGGTGGAAAAGAAACCAGAAAGGACCAAGTTGTCTTGGGAGCAGGACCCATGGAGTCCTCAAAAGCACAGTCAACAAGGTGGGCTCACCTTCCCCAGTTTTAACTGTTTCACAAAAGTGGTCCTCTGGTGTTCCACCTTCTCCCCATTCAGTGTTCCCTTTGCTTCAATCTGAAATGAAAGAAATGACATTTCCCTGCAAAAGTTCCTGAAAAGGATAGCTATGGAGAGCTGCAGATCAGGTTGGTGTCACAGCTGCATTCAATGGCATTTGCTACCTGCTGAAATGAACTCAGTTGCCCAATTATCTGTCAATTGTTTTCACTGACCCCTCTCAGTCATTAAACAATAGTAACAGTGGAGGGAAGAGAAAATGAAGAATCAGTACTGAAACTCTGACACTGGCATGTAATTTATTTTGTTCTCTATCTTCACAAGTTTTGTTCCACAGATCCTCTTGACTCAAAGAGTGAAATTCAGTTACTTTGGGGTGTCAGGCAGGTAGCATAGGCAAAAAGGCACGGTATGAGACTAATGGAACTGGAGGGAATGGTAGCAAATTGGAGAGGGCATGTCCCATCTCAAAGCATGACATTCAAATTTTCTCCTTAAACACTGTGGATGAAACAAAACTCATTTGGGAAGAGCTGTGCCGTCGGCTGCCACTATCCAAACCAAGCTAGGTAGCAATGGCAGTGGTTGAAAAACTCCACTGGGCAGAGTCAGAAGAGCTCAGGGCCAGTGGTGTGAGGGTACCATGTAGGCATACACAGGCCAGTTGGGAGATATTACCTTTGTACAGTTGTCACACACAACATCCCGCACGGATTCTGATGAGATGAAGTGGTGAAGGCAGTGGTCCAGGGTCAATGGATGACCCTAGAGCAAGAGACAAAGAAAAGTATTACAATTCAAAGGAGAGCAATACTGATACTCTCAGCAGATAGCAATGTGAATCACAGAGATTTTGGAGTATGCAGGCAATAAAGCTTCGGAGATACAACCAATGTCTCCTGAACAAACATGGAGCTCAGAGCACCCTCGTCTGCTATTACTGACAGATCCAAGAGTACGAGGATCTAACTTTGTGCAAAACTGTGGACTTCCATACTGCTTTAGACATCTTAGATTTTGAGATTTGTGTGTGTATACTAAAAAAACCCAACATTTCTAACTGAATTTCACCCTCTGAATCAAGAGGATCTGTGGAACAGAACTTGTGAAGACAGGGAACAAAATAAATTATATGCCAGTGTCAGAGTTTCAGTACTGATTCTTCATTTTCTCTTCCCTCCACTGTTTAATGACTGAGAGGCGTCAGTGAAAACAATTGACAGATAATTGGGCAACTGAAAAACTACCCACCTTCCTTTCCCTCCTAATCAGGCCATAGATTAAAGTTAAGATGACAAGAGAGGGATCAGCAGTAGCAGGGCACTGCTAGGGGAGAGGGGGGAGCACATAACATCACTAAGGGGACCTGATCTCAAACCAGGGGACGTGAGGACCAGTGGGAGGCCCAAACTTCACCTGCTCATAGACCACTTATATAACTAATGCTGACTTGTACCCCACATCTTTGAAATAAAATAAGAAGACGGGATTCAACAACGATGTATGTGAATAACACATAGTACCCGAGCCACATAAAACGCCCCAAAGCCCTTCTAGATCAAAACATCTGCAAAACAGACCCCAAATAAGCCATAAATCAGGACATACCCATGTGGCAGCTGGGATACTTAGTGAAAGGCTGTCAAAAGTATCAAATCGAACAGGACTCTGAAACAAATATTGTAGAAAATCCAGAAAGGACTTAGGTTCAATTCAAAGTTTTGAAGTTTTAGAATGTACTTGTAAGCAAATTCTATTAAAAACAACCATGTAAACATAAGAGGTAAAATAATACTAAAGGATAGCTTAGAAAACTAAAAGATTACATACCTGACACAGCAACTGTGGAATTTTATCCTAAGGAAATAACCAGGGACATAACTACAAGGACATTCATCAACATTTCTTATAACAGCAAAAATGTGAATACAGCCATGTGTTGCTTAACAACAGGGATACGTTCTAAAAATGGGTCCTCAGGTGATTTCATCCTTGTGCAAGCATCATAGAACATCCTTACACACACCTACATGGTACAGCATAGGGCTCCCAGACTACAAACCTGTACATTAGGCTACTGTACTAAACACTGTAGGCAACTGTAACGCAGTGGTAAGTATTTGTGTATCTAAACACAACTGGGCATAGAAAAGGTTCGGTAAAAACATGGTATTATAATTTTATGGGACCACCATCACGCATGTGGTTTGTCACTGACTGAAACATCCTCATGCAGCACATGACTATAGTTGAAACTTACACGGAATGATTTAATGAATTATAGCATGTAATACAGAATGGAATACTATAGCAAAAATAATGTATTAGAATGTATGATTATGTGGAAAGATGTTTCATGTTAGACTATTAATTGCAAAACAGCAGATGATAAAATAGGGTAAGAGTTCCTGCCTTTGGCTAAACAAACCCTCCTTGAAATAACAACTGTAAAATCTGGAGTAAAGCAAAACAAAAAGATGTGAATGATTAGAGAGTTACCAAAAGCAGACAGAAATTGAAAAGACACCAACTCCTAGAAAAACAGGACCTCTCAGCCAGGTGCAATAGCTCAAGCCTGTAATCCCAGCACTTTGGGAGGATTGCCTGAATTCAAAGGTTCGGGACCAGCCCGGGCAATCTGGGTGACACCTCGTCTCTACAATATATCAAAAAATTACCCGGGTGTGGTAGAGTATGCCTGTAGTTCTGGCTACTTGGAAGGCTGAGGCAGAAGGATCACCTGAACCCAGCAGGTTGATGCTGGGGTGGTCATGAGCGTGCCACTGCACTCCAGCCTGGGTGACAGAGTGAGACTTTGACTCAAAAAAAGAAAAGAAAAGAAAAGAAAAACAGGACCTTCATGGGCAAGATGTACGTGTTTGTGGCTTTTCTGCCCAGTCTAGGCAATGCTGGATGACACAAAGCAGCAGTCCTACAGGAGTTGTCAAAAGACCAAGTTCAGGGCTGGCAGAGAGGCCCAGTGAAATCCCACAAAGGGAGCCAACAGAGGATGAACCCCACAGTTTAGGCATGAACTCTGTTCGATTCCAGGGTTGGTCACTGAGCCACACAGGCACAGGGAGACTCCAGAGGACAAGCATAAAGTAGGAGCTAAAACGGAGCAGAGATGTTGCTGCTCAACACAGAGTTTGGAGTAAGAGCCTAGCCAGGTTAACTGCCGGCCAGATCAAAACTAATTTTTCTTCAGAGAAACAAATAGAATCCAAAGTCTGTAACTATAATGTTGGGTTTTTTTGAGTCAGTCTCACTTGTTGCCCAGGCTGGAGTGCAGTGGCATGCTCATGGCACTGCAGCCTGGACCTGCTGGACTCAGGTGATCCTTCTGCTTCAGCATTCCAAGTAGCTGGAACTACAGGCGTGTGCTACCACACTCAGCTAATTTTTAAAAATTATTCATAGAGATGAGGTCTTGCCATGTTGCCCAGGCTGGTCTCAAACCCAGGGGCACAGGCAATCCTCTTGCCTCCGCCTCCCAAAGTGCTGAGATTACAGGCATGACCACCATGCCCAGCTAGCTAGAATGTTAAATATTCAATTTTCTTTCTTTCTTTTTTTTTTTGTTTAGGGTTCTGAATCCAATTTATTAGACAGCACAGAAATAACAGGTTTAGATTATATTACAAAAAGAACTCAAACTATTCATAAACAACTAGGTTTGCCACAGGCTTGACAGGGAAATTCAGTCTACTACACAAGGACACAAAAACTCCTGATCCTAAATAAAGTTTTAAGGTACAAAGACAAGTTTCTTGTAAGACAGAAAATAGAGAAATCCACATACTAAATAAGTATTCGATTTTAAAATGACTAGGCATATAATATGAAGGAGAAAAACATGCCTCATTGAAGGGCGCAGGGAACAGTCAGAAGGGAGTCTCCCGAGATGGTGCTAAACACTATATAGAACCAAACAAAGACAATAAAGGCCATAAGCTCTGGCTTCCCCCCACACCGTTTCGCGCACACGGGAAGTTTAAACTTGTGCTCAAACAATTTCTCCCTATAGGAATACTACCTCATAGCCCCCTCCAATAAGACCCAAACACGGTACTGGACAGCCCCTGCCAGGCCCAAGCACGGCACTGGCCAGTCCCTCTCAAACCCATAAATACACTCCTCTCTCGCAGGCTCTCTCTCTCTCTCCCTCCCCTACCCCGCAGTTACAGACCCTTTTCCTTTTTCCCTGTAGCCGCCGCCGCTTTAATAAATCTCTTGGTCTTTAACGGGTGTGGAATTGTCACTGGCGCCTAAGTTCTTTCATTGGTGCCGTGACTCAGATCAGGTTCCTCTCGCCCTAAGGCGGGACCCCGTTCCGGCGCCAGTGGGACTCACCCCTTAAGGGCTTTGCCCACTTTCTTGAATGCCAATGCCGCATCCATCACTGGCCCTCGGATAGGTAAGTGCCCCTAACTAAAAAAACTAAAACCTCGGCCGAGACAACTGGAAGAGATTGACTGCTGAGCATCCGGTGGCTCTTTTGGCCCCAGGTGAGGGGGGGACCACACCCCACCTAGGCCTTTAAGGCCACAGCAGACCCCTACCGGTTTTCCCCTCTCCTGCCTAGGCCTTTAAGGCCACAGCAAATCCCGACCTTATACAGGACCTCTATAACTTCTACAAGCATTCAAAAAAGTGGGCAGAGATCCCCCTCCCTCCCCCATCCCATTTTGACCCACTAAATCTCTTGACCTTAACGGGTGTTAGGTCTCACTGTGGATCGGGTCTCTCTCGCCCTTGTGCGGGTCTTTCTCTCGCCCTTGGGCGGGACCCCGATTCGGCGCCTGTGGCCACTCCAGCCCTTCCGGACTTTCCCCACCCTTTTGAACGCCTGAGCCGCATCCACACCAGCAATCGTTGGATAGGCAAGTCCCCCTTCCCCAAACAAGGAAGTGAAAAAACTTGCCGGGGAACACTGGAGGGAACAGACTTCAGGAACCAGCCCCTCCAGTCCCTTGGCAAGGGGAAACACACCCCACCTTGGTCTTCACGGCCACAGCA